TTTAAACTTTCTATTCATCAAAGAATCCTGAAAAAATTATCACCGTTTCCACAAAAATCTTAAACAGCAAAACTGTTTTGAACACTATGGCATAGCTTTGCCATCACATGAATAAATTACATTTTTAAAATATTACAAAATAAAAATTTTACTTTACTGCATTTGTGTTCAAATAAATGCAGCCTTGGTGAGCATAAGAGACTTAATTCAAGTGTAATTACTATATTTCTTTTTTTCTTTTGATTTTGGGATGACATTTTCACACTTAAAATAATGATGGCCTCATCTTTTATAACACTGGCTAACAATTTCCAGCACCACACTGAAGCAAGCAGCTATGATCTATACTGCAGTAAAAACACAAGGGGCCTCTTGAATGAATGTTACTGCCTTAGTACGATGCCGTCCCTTTGTCTCACACAGAACCAGTGGCGAAACTATTTCCTCCATTTCCGGTAGAGCACAGAGCACCTCATGTGTGCACACGTGCAGAGAGCCAAGACAAACGCCCTACACTGGGAGACGCAGGAGAGAGAGAAAGAGAGGTGCAACTCTGAGCTCAATTAAAGCCAGATGTGCAGAACAGCCTCACGCCTACAACAACATGTGATGACTCAGAATAGTGTGTGCAGAGACAGACTTTTCTCCATACGTCTCTCCACATGACCTGAAACGCTGAGAGGCCTACATGGCAGTGCAAACTTCAACTAGAAAATGAAAGTTTGTCAAGATAAATACTGAATGTTGACTCGAAAAAGTCAGTTACGTGGTTACTAGACAGATCCACCCACCACACTCCTGCACTGTGGTGTTCAAGATGGTTTCTAGGGCATTGCTAGGCCGTTGTTAAGATGCTTTAAGTGTTTGTTGGAGTTATGCCAGGTAAGGTGTTCTGAATATTGCTAGAGAGTTGCTAAATGGCCGCTAAACTGTTCTAATTGGTTTTAGGCAGTTGCAAAGGTGTCCTGGAAGGCTGCTAGGCAGTTGGTGTTCTGGGTGGTTGCTAGGCAGTTGCTAAGGTGCTCTGGGTGGTTGCTAGGACATTGTAGTTTAGTGGCTCTCCACCTTTTAACTCAAAGGTCCCTTGTTGTCCAACACAATATTCAAAGGCCACCTCATATAGACAAAGATATTTTCTGTACTTATGCTATAATTAAGAAAAAGCTGCTTGTTTTCAAACTTTTTTATTATTGTTTGATATAAGTAACCATGACTGATTTTGTGATTCCAGAAGTTTTAAGAATCATATAATCTTCAATAAAAACATTAGTTATTAAGCGGCGGAAAAAATATGATTGCAGTTTACATCTCGATTTTTTAGTTAGATTGTTTTATTATATCAATAATAAGTATGAATTGAAATCCTAATAGTAGTAATTATTAATTAAAATAAAAAAGTGGTCCTGGGGGCCCCTAGGAAGTTGAGAAATCTAGTTTTTGAGAATTTTTGATTTTCTTGAAACACCCTGGCAGATATGGAACTATTAAAACCAGCAACCTGCTTACACTGAGAGGAAACAAACATGCTGATTAATATACATTATATTACGCATTCAGTGCTTACTAACATCTGGATCGTTTTTAATTAAATCAATTTTGTTAGTCAGTTGAACATTATGGGAATTTGAGAGTTGAATTGTGGACATGAGAATAAAGGAAGGCGTATTGAATATGAAAATAACAATGTTATTGTTGCTCAGCATGGCTCACTGACTTCCTCCCTCACTTGTTTATAGAGGTTTCAGCCAAGAGGCCCACCTACTTGATCTCGTCCTCCCCTCTTATGGCAAATTATTTACTCCTCCTAATGACGGCACTGCTAGTTGAATTTCATCTATTAGATGCGCAAGCTTTTAAACAAGAGATATATTTAAATAAAATTTAACAATGAAAAAAAGAACAAGATTCCAGGAAGGTTACGTCTGTTGGAGTGCAGTGAAATGCGTGTTTGTTGAGTTCACTGCAGACTCTGTGACCATTCTGACACATGCTGGTACTGCCCTGTGTGGAGGCATGACTCTGTGCCAGCACTACGCAAGCACACTGATGAGGACTAGATGCAGCATGCCCCTCCAAGTATGTTGCTGCTGTTGTTGTGTCTGTAAAAACATATCCCATTACTCCGGTATTCACAGCACTGTTGGTTTTACACTTCCCATAGATTGCTTGTGTGGCTTCGACCACCATGCATTTATATTGATACTGCATGCGACATCAGTAATTTAGGTTAAGTTTTGGTGGCTGGTTAAAGAATCTTCCTGCAGTTCTGCGAATGGGAATGTCTGCCCAACTGTGAAATGGGTGCACAGAAATTCTTCGACCCAAAAATCACAGACTCAAGGTTTTGGCATGCCTGTGTCAAATTTCCCAGGACTATATCAACTGAAAAACAAGAAAAGCTATTTTTTAAAAGTTCATTCAGTTACATGAACACAAGGCTATAAAAATCATAAAGATCCTGTATCTTAAGGCTATACTTTTTTACACTCACTCTTGGGAATGAAGCAAAGTGGGAATGAAGCAACACACATACTCAGTCTACATTTCAATTTGCACATAATATACCTGTACATACAACTGTCTATTGTTATATACCTATCCTGTACATACAATTGTCGATTTGTATATTTTTTATTCCTTATTTTACTTGTTCTATTTATTTATTTTTATTATCTGTGTTTTTTGTTCCATCACTGTCATTCTGTTACACTGTGGAAGCTTCTGTCACAAAAAACGAATTCCTTGTATGTGTAAACATACCTGGCAATAAAGCTCATTCTGATTCTGATTCTGAAGTGGTGAAACAAGACTAAAAATGCCATGTCTTTTTATTTTACATGTACCCTATAATCAGTTTTTTTTGTATCATTGAGATACTACTATACTTTTAATTAATATTTTTTAATAAGCTTTTCGTTTTTCTTTTAATATTTTAAGTGTTTTTGTCTTTTTTTATTCATTTAAGTCTATACAGTTTTCAGCAATTTTCAGTTTAAATTTCAGTTTTATGTTTAGTTATTTCAGTATATCAAATGAAAATATTTTATTTGAGTTAGCATTTATTTATTTCAAGTAATGAAAATGATATATCTATTTATTATACCATGTTTTACGTTTACCTGCTGAAACAAATACTGGTTAGCTGTTCTTCTAGCAACTACTCTGATAGTTTAAGAAGGGTTTTTAACTAAGCTCTTTTTTAATGTACACTTGCATGAATATGATAATCATTCAGTACCATGGTACTGCCACAGTACAAAAAAAGTCTCAAGGAGGCCCTCGACAAAGAGGCCTATTAATTGATCCTATTATTGGCTGAAATACTCACTCATTTCTGGGACACATTCCATCTTGAAAAACTTTGTGGAGGGGAATAATAGTTTGACCGAGAAACACGTCCAGCCCGATCAGCACGCGATGCATCACGGTGAGCACCAGGTTGCTGCTCCCGGGCGGGTACGCGCTCATCCCACCCGCCTCCAGCAGCCCGGGCAGCAGCTCAAACGAGCATTCCTCGTGCCACTGCGGCTCCTCAGCCTTCTCCACCAGGCCGGTGGTGTACTTCTCCTTGCCGACCTGGATGATGGTGTAAACATAGCGGCTGCCTTGCTTGCCCTTCGTCCGCAGACTCCTCGCGCGAAGGACGGTCACGTTGACGTGCGTCGGGACCCATCTCTGATCATCGTCGTCCAGGCTAATCAGAGGCATCCCGTTGCAGTTGGAGACGCAGTTGTTTGGGATATAATCCAGCAGAAAGACACTTGCGCACTGGATAACTATGCACTGCCCGCGCCCTTGTCCCTATCCGCCACCCGAAGTTGCAGTGAGAGAAATCGCTGCATTACCGTGCAGCTCAATTCAAAAAGACGATCACAATTGAAACGTTGATAATAAATATCAAATCCCTGGCGAGTCAAACTTCACATTTACCGTAGTGGGCGTTCTGGACCCTCGGCGTCACCACCACAACAGATTTTTGACAATTCACTGCACTGCTGCTGCTGCGCGGCCCGCCCTCCAACATTTAGTGGGGGCTCCGCAATAAAGTATGCAGCTGAATTAAAGAGAAAGGCAACTCAATTCCGTGCTGCTATAGTTCATATCAGAACATAGTAAACAATCTAGCAGAGATCTACTTGGACTGGGAATCGGGGAGCACGCTGTAATGAGTGTGGGAAAACGAATCCATGCTGAAGCCGTTTGTTTGGTGAAAGAGTTTTGAAGGAATCCTTTAGGTCAGGGGTGCCCAAACTCGGTCCTGGAGGGCCGGTGTTCTGCAGAGTTTAGCTCCAACCCAAATCAAACACACCTGAACCAGCTAATCAAGCTCTTACTAGGCATGCTAGAAACTTCCCGGCAGGTGTGTTGAGGCAAGTTGGAGCTAAACTCTGCAGGACACCGGCCCTCCAGGACCGAGTTTGGGCACCCCTGCTCTAGGTGAACAAATTTGTTGTTTGAACAAATCTTTTAAATGAATGAATCGTTCTCGTTTATTTTCATGCACTTCAAATGAGATGGTGCTCACTGCAGAACACAAGATCCAGGGGGCGTGGTTGGATCCTGATCCAACTCCTCCCACCTTACATATACCCAAACCTACCCGCTCCACCCCCTGATCCCTAAACCCACCCATCTCCACCCCCTAGATGTGGATCCAACCCCGTCCCCTGGATCTTGTGTTCTGCAGTGAGGGGCTACTGGCTTCAAATAGCATTTGAGTAGGACATGCGAAGGAGCACATTGGTTGGACTTCCTGAAAGAATAGGCCCCTTCACTGAACAGCTGTTTTGAGGATTGTGCTCAGGTGTCTCTTTACAACCAAAATTGACAAAATCAGTGGACGTTTAAAATGTTTTTCAACAGCTTTACCCGATTTGTTAATCATGTAGGCTCATCCTTAACCCACCCCAAAATTAAAGTAAATCGGGTAAAGCCTTTGAAAAGTTCTTGGTTATAATAACGCCCACTAGCGTTCTGCAGAGATTTATCATTGGGTTTGGAGTCTAATGAGATTTTTCAAGTAAATGAAGGATAGAGGAATCTGAACGAATTTAACTGGAATACCAATCGCCAAAACCTAGAGAGAGATTAAATGCAAGCAAACACATTTCCGGTTGATTCGGTGCATTTTACTAAGCGGTTGTGTGAATGATTCAATGACTCGCTCATTTGTACCACTGTAACCTGCAAAAAGAGTCACTGAGTGAATCGCAATCGGATTTATTCTGCTAGTAAACCTATTCAAAAGATTCGAGTCAATGAATCAAAATCCCCATCACTTTACAGTACAGTGATGATAGTTCTGTGTGTGTGTGAGTACATGGGGTGGGGTATGATGCTATCTCTCTGCTTAACTGTCCCATGATGAAGATGATTTTTTCCGGCTAAATCTCTGTTTCAGCCACATATATTGCGCAATGCCTAGAAATGCCGGTGCATTACATAACATATGTTATATATATACTAAGTTGAAGATATAACTTCACTTAATTTACTTTGTTGTTTGAACAAATCTTTTAAATGAATGAATCGTTCTCGTTTATTTTCATGCACTTCAAATGAGATGGTGCTCACTGCAGAACACAAGATCCAGGGGGCGTGGTTGGATCCTGATCCAACTCCTCCCACCTTACATATACCCAAACCTACCCGCTCCACCCCCTGATCCCTAAACCCACCCATCTCCACCCCCTAGATGTGGATCCAACCCCGTCCCCTGGATCTTGTGTTCTGCAGTGAGGGGCTACTGGCTTCAAATAGCATTTGAGTAGGACATGCGAAGGAGCACATTGGTTGGACTTCCTGAAAGAATAGGCCCCTTCACTGAACAGCTGTTTTGAGGATTGTGCTCAGGTGTCTCTTTACAACCAAAATTGACAAAATCAGTGGACGTTTAAAATGTTTTTCAACAGCTTTACCCGATTTGTTAATCATGTAGGCTCATCCTTAACCCACCCCAAAATTAAAGTAAATCGGGTAAAGCCTTTGAAAAGTTCTTGGTTATAATAACGCCCACTAGCGTTCTGCAGAGATTTATCATTGGGTTTGGAGTCTAATGAGATTTTTCAAGTAAATGAAGGATAGAGGAATCTGAACGAATTTAACTGGAATACCAATCGCCAAAACCTAGAGAGAGATTAAATGCAAGCAAACACATTTCCGGTTGATTCGGTGCATTTTACTAAGCGGTTGTGTGAATGATTCAATGACTCGCTCATTTGTACCACTGTAACCTGCAAAAAGAGTCACTGAGTGAATCACAATCGGATTTATTCTGCTAGTAAACCTATTCAAAAGATTCGAGTCAATGAATCAAAATCCCCATCACTTTACAGTACAGTGATGATAGTTCTGTGTGTGTGTGAGTACATGGGGTGGGGTATGATGCTATCTCTCTGCTTAACTGTCCCATGATGAAGATGATTTTTCCCGGCTAAATCTCTGTTTCAGCCACATATATTGCGCAATGCCTAGAAATGCCGGTGCATTACATAACATATGTTATATATATACTAAGTTGAAGATATAACTTCACTTAATTTACAATGGATGGTCATTAAACTGCTGAAAAACAACAAGAAGAACTTAAACTAAATTGGTTTGCTGGCCTTGGTCTCTCAGCTTGGTCCATCTGGTGTGCTGGCTGATTTTTAAAAGCACTTTTCACTTTGAGCCCAATTTTGCACTCTAGTTTATCATAAATAGGCTAACATGAGGCATCCGAATGATTTCATAAAGTGTACACACACTCACTCCACAGACATCTGCAATTATTCACACTGGAGTGAATTTGACAGCCTTTGTTTGGATTGGGTTCAAAAAGGAACGTTTCAATGGCTTTATTGTTGTCTACTGCCATCTATTGTTCAATGTCTAGAATTAATAGAGAAGCTACCATTGAAACACAACACAGATGGCATTGTCTGGATCAGTTATTTTGCTTCATTGTATTTTCTCTTTTTTGTCCACATTACATAAACGCATCTTCTGTTTGAAAAGAAAATATCATTGATAAGTAAGAGGAAAAACAGTCTCATCACTTTTGGTGGAGTTCACAGTGTTGACACGTTCTTTGAACAGACTAGAGGACTAACAATTTCCAATCACCATGGATTTGTACAATCACAACAGGCTACATATCACAACAACAGTGACTTTTGTATGTCTGGTAGTTAAAGGCAACAGCAACTTGGTAACTTATTTTGAAGTCTTTATACCTCTCTGACACAACTTTATCAGCTGTTTAATGTTTGGGAATTGCTGACATTTAAACCTGAACATGAAGATGTGAACTTGGGCGAAACAGTAGCCTTTAGTAGCAGATGAATGAGGCCACAGATCTTCAGATATGAAACTCCCTTAATGATCACAAGTTTTCATGCTATGTGAAGAGGTTTAAATGTTAGGGATTCCCCACCATCAGATGTCTGATGAAGCGCCACAGAGAATGATTTCAAAATTAGTAGTTAAATGACATTAGACTGAATTCTGCCAGACATTACATGATGACCTGGATGTATAAACATTTTCACAGACAGAGTCTAAGGCATTAAAGAAAGATGGTCCGTTTTCAAACACATTTTTCTTTTGTTTGAAAACCCAAACAGCCAGAGGCCACTAATGTAACAGGAACGCTAAGAGATAACAACAGTCTGAAATTGGCAGTATTTGTAGTTCTTAGTGGTAGATGGTGTCTTTTTTAAGGCATTTCATTTAGTCTTCTATGCAGTCACACAGAATATCATAATGTGGTAGAATAAATGAAGTCCGGCTGATCCTTTAAACATGATCTTTGTGGTGCTTGACGAACTAGAATCAAGAACCAGCAACACAAATTACGAACAACATCGCCTCCTTATTGGATCAGAGGAAAGATTAGGAAGCCACCCAACGCATTATATTACAGACGTACTGTATCTCCACAGTCACAGACACGGACAAATTGTAGAGTTCAGTAAATCATCCTGCAGCCACTATGAAACTGATTTCGCAACATTACAGTTTTTATAAACATCACAGATTATTCAACATCATGATAAAATAGAGGGCAACACTTTAAATTGAACCATATCAGAGAGAATAACAGAAAATCATATTAGCACCTCATTTGCAGGTTGTCTGTGTGAACATCTGACCAATCTGACACAAGAAAGGAAGCTCTCATTATTTACAATGCAGTAAAATGGATACATTCATGTTACTCACATTCGATGGAATGAATTAGCAAATGGAGCGCATAATAAATCTGATATTGTGTAGAATTCAACCAACTCTGCTGCCTAGTGACCACTAACCGTTTAAGTTGAACAAAAAAAGCTTGGAAGAATCCCACATAATTTAGTGGGTAGGTGTGAATGCCCTGGAATGTTTTAACAGGAAGGAATAAGGTTTATATTCATACACAAGTCACGTTAACACCATGTAAATGCTGCAATTTCTGTATGAGCCGATCCGGAGGGCTCACTCCTCACCTTGATCAAAGATTTGGACGTATTTTTCTTCTTTAGTCCCCCAAACCATTCTGCGAGCCCTTCAGATAGAGCTCATCCTGAGAGAGCTGCCCGTCATAGCTCTCCATGTATAAACTACCACTACTGCTGCTACCGCTGGCCAGGAAAGCGCCTACAGCCCGGCCCTGCCGCGCGTGCCCTACTGCATCACTGAAGACTTTGTTTATCTGCTCCTCAGAGGGCATCCACCAGTCAGGATTAGAAGCACAGTGCATCCGGATAAACTCTGTGAGAGGGAACGCCATGGGACAGAGATGGATGAGGGAGATAGAATGTGTGAGTTGCTAAATTAAGTTTGCATAATTATCGCACTGATAATCTGATTACAATTAGATGCTAAAATCAAAAAAAGTGTAAGAAAGTTTTAGCTCACTACCTCTGAGACAAGTGACCTTGACGGGGTTGAGAGGTCTTCTCTCCGGCCCCGGCTCCCCTGTGTGTACCGAACGTTTCCTCTTCCCCAGACCGCATGAGTATTTCAGCTCATCTGTGCTGGGGCTCAAGGAGCCGTCCGTTGCTGTTGAGGA